TGCCCTGGCCCAGCAGCCGGCGCCGCGCTGGGGCCTTCCACGGAGGCTGCAGCGCAGGCGCCCCCTGGTGGCCGGCAGCGCTTCCTGCAGCCCCGCGCAGTCATCGGGGCGGCCCGGCAGCGGGGGACGCCGCCGTGCAGCCCCGAGGGGCCTTGGGCTGGTTCAGCGGCCGGGCAGGCTCAGGAGCCTTGGCGTGCACCTGGCTCTGGGACACCCCCTTCCCCCCCCTCAGCAACAGGCGCTTTTGGGGGTCCGAGCTGCCCGCTGGCGTGGGCAGCACCGGGGTGGCAGGTTTGTAGAAATTTTGGTGGCGCCCAGAACCCGCCTCTGCCCCCCTCCCACCTGCCCAAGGCTCTGGGCGGGAGTTTGGGTGGGGGAGAAGGTCTGAGGATGCAGCCCTTAGGCTGGGGCAGGGGATTGGGGTGCAGGCTCTGGGAGGGAGTTTGGGGATGGGAGGGGGGGAGGGGTGAGGGCTGTGGGGTATGGGAGGGGCTCAGGGCAAGAGTAGGGATCTAGGGGGTGAGGGCTCTGTCTGGGGCTGGGAGGATTGAGGGGTTAGAGAGGCTCTGGGCTGGGGCAGAGGGATGGGGGCTCTGTGGTGTTGGAAGGGGCTCAGGGTTGGGGGATGAGGGCTCTGGCTGGGGCTGGAGATGAGGGGTTGGTTAGGGGGCTCAGGGCTGGGGCAGAGGGTTGGGGTGTGGAGTGATGAGGGCTGGAGCTGGAGATTGGAGGGGGTCAGGGCTGGGGCAGAGTGTTGGGGTGCAGGAGGATGAGGGCTCTGGCTGGGACTGGGGTGTTTGGGGTGTTGGAGGGGGCTCAGGGCTAGGGTAGAGGGTGCAGTGGGGGGGTGAAAGCTCTGGCTGGGGGTGTGGGCTCTGGGGTGGGGCCAGGCTAGGGATGAGTTTGGGGTGCAGGCAGGCTGCTCCAAGACAGGGCCAGAGAGGAGGACTCCCCCCAGCCCTTTCTCTGCTGGCAGCAGTGAGCTCTGGGGGAGGATCCCCCCTTTCCCACCCCCCCAGCAGCACACTCACCCCCACCACTGCATGTGCTCCTAGGGCCCCTCTCAGGTCCAGGAATCTCCCTTGCCTCCCCCGTGGTGGGTGCCGTGGGGTGCTGCAAGCGCCTCCCCCCCCTGCTGTTGCCCCTGACTGTAGCCTCACTGGGGGTGAGGGATGGGGCTGCCCACTTGCCCAGCAAAGGGCAGGAGCGGTGATGGCGGGGGGAGAGGGGGAACATGTGCTGGTGGAGGGTCCCACCAGAAAAGGGAAGGGTCTGAGGTGGAAGGGCAGACTCAGTCAGTGTGCCCTGGCAGTCGAGATGGAGAGGGGGGAGGGAGAGAGAGAATAGGACCCTGCGGCAGCAGTTGCTGGAGGGTGGCAGCATGGAGCTGCAGGGAAGAGACAGAGGCAGGGACGCTCTGCTCCAGGGCGGTGCGTGGGGGGCTGGGGGCAGGAAGAGGTGGCCAGGGGACAGGCAGGGGGGCAGCAGCTGGAGTCAGGGTTGACACTCGGCCCCAAATATTGGTGGAGCTGGGTTCCCTGGGCTCTGAATATTGCTGGTGCTAAGGCACCACATGGAGATTTGCCACCCCTGCTCACTGGGTCCTGCTAGCCCAGGCTGAGGGGGTAAGGGCCCCTCCCACCTGACACATTTGTGAAAAATGCAATATCTGGTTAACGTATTTTGAAGACCAATACCCCCAAACAGTAAAAAAACAAACAAACAAACGGAGTTAAACTGCCTGGAGCACTGAGGCTTCCATATACAATTTGATAGTAACTGGGGAGTTGGGCACTGTGGTGGTGGCGGATGCCCTAGCATAGTCAGCACTGTTCTTAACATTTGCTGATGGCTGGTGTCATCACACAACCAAAACTGAACACCCTTCTCCTGCCCATCTTGCCCCTTTTCTGAGGCCCTGCCCACCCCGACTCCATCCCCCTCTCACGCTGTTGCTCGCTCTCCCCACCCTCACTCATTTTCACCAGGGCTGGGGCAGGGTGTTAGGGTGCAGGGTCTGTGTGAGGGCTCCAGCTGGGGGTGCAGGTTCTGGTGTGGGGTTGGCAATGAGGGATTTGGGGTGCAGGAGGGTGCTCCAGGCTGGGACTGAGGGTTTCAGAGGGTGGGAGGAGGATCAGGACTGATGCAGGGGATTGGGGTGTAGGACAGAGTCAGGGTGCAAGCTCCAGGGGCCCTTACCTCAAGCAGTTCCCAGAAGCAGTGACATGTCCCCCCTCCCCTCAGCTCCTATGCAGAAGTGGGGCGAGGTGCCTATGTGCCCTGCCCCATCTGCGGGAGCTGCAGAGCCAGCGCTTGCGGTGGGTGCAGGACGCAGAGCCCCCTGGCTGCTCCTCCGCGTAGGACATGCCACTGCTTCTGGGGAGCCGCACAGAAGGCAGGGGAGCTTATGCTGCTGCACCACTGACCTGACTTTTAATACGCCAGTCAGCGGTGCTGACCAGCACCATGAGGGTCCCTTTTCGGCCAGGCGTTCCAGTCAAAAACCAAACACCTGGCACCCCTACTAAAGTAGGGTGACCAGATGAAATGGACAAAATATCAGGACACATGGGGGAAGCCCCCCACCAAAAAAAAAGCGGCCAGAGGGGAGTTGTGGAAAGGAAGGGGCGGGGGAAAGCACCAGAGCAGCCAAAGCTGCAATATCAGGACAAATGTTGTCCCAACCATGCAGCAGTCAGGACATGGGACAAAGAACTAAAAATCGTGACAGTCCGATTTTATTGGGACATCTGGTTACCCTAAAGTAATAAGGCAAAAATATAGGTACAAATAGGCTCTAGCAGCCATTTGAGTGTTTAGCTGCCTATAGAAAATGGCACAGTGGTCAGACTACACTTAGGGTTTAATTGAAGTGGGGAGATCACATGTCTTATCACAAATGCCCCTTCAGTTAACAGAGCCTATGTACTGAAAGGGTAGGAAAACTCATCTACACTTTTAAACAGACCAGGCCTTAGGCACATTTGCTAGGCATTTTGGGAAGTTTACAGTTATTGCTGTCCATAAGAAAGTAAACAGAGCCTTTTACAAGCACTACATTCACTATTTATAGAACACATTTCATCTGGAAATTGATGAAGTGAAATATGTGAAAAGCAAATGTGTACTAGACACAGATCACCTAACTGCAGTTATTCATTTACCAGTAGCCACTGGTCCTGAGTCTGTACCCAAAAACTCCCAACATCTGGTTTCCACATTAGCAGCATGTCCCAGATACTGGTGCTCAATCCCCATTCTGTATCTGGCTTCTTAGTGACTCAAGGTTGTTTTTTTTTTTTTTTTAAGATTTAAAAATCAACATGCATATTTATTATTCTTACCAGCATAGCACTAGTGATCCCCACCAAGAACAGGGCTCCACGGTGCTAAGCCCTGTTACAAAACACATTTTAAGAGAGACCCTACTGCAAATATTTCAGACTCTAAATTGGTAAGTTGGACAAAGAGCAAGAGGGGAAACAGGGGCACAACAGTGTGAAGGGACTTGTCCTGGCTCCTGGAGCAGGTCATTGATAGAGGTGGGATAGAACCAAAGTCTGAGTCCCAGGAGTGCACTGATCACGCCAGATCTCACAAGCGAAGCAAGATCAGGCATATAGCGAGGGGCTCCAAGAAAACTAGAGATTGCTTCAGGAATGCTGGTAATTCCTTTAGTGAAGCTTTTCTTTGAAGCAATGAACCAGTGGGCCAATGAGGCGGCACCGTGCTGTGGTCTTTCAACTGTGATGAAAAAAGAGTGATTGTAACCACTTTATCATTAGCTTTCCCACAACACTATTTTGCAAGAGTAGAGGCGTTCAGTGTCCCCTTCCACAATAAAATTCTCCTCATATAATTCCCACCTGCAGTGTCAGCTTTGCTTCTTGTCATTGTAGGTCTGTTGTGTGCACATTGCACTACAGAGGCGTTTGAAGTAATCCATGTTTTTAAGTTGTCTTTGTGACTGAAAGTGTTCTATAAAAGCTATTGTATGAACTTTAGAAGACAAGCAGAGAACTTAACTAATCATTCAGTATAGCCGAGGCAAGTGACTGCTTCTGATAAGCTGCTGTCTGGATTCAGGGATTTGTCTTCTCCTCAAAGATTATTGGGTTGTGGTAGTAAATGAACCGCTGACAGAGCCTTTTTAAATCCATCAGTAACTTTTGCTATCCTCTTCTGGTAGTGAGACAGCATGAACTGGAATGTGAGCAGCAGTGGGAAGAATATAGCATTATACTCTGAACTACATGACACTATATAATCCTACAGAAACCTCATAAATGCTGCTGATTGGATTATTAGTGGAGATTTAAACCCATGGCCTCCCTATCAAAAAGTATTAGCATCTACTGCTTGAGCTAGAGTAGGGGTGGCCAACCTGAGCCTGAGGAGCCAGAATTTACCAGTGTACATTGCCAAAAAGCCACAGTAATACATCAGCAGGCCCCATATCAGCTCCCCCCATCCCCGCGCGCCTCCCACCCACTGGCAGCCCCGCTGATCAGCACCTCCTTCTCCCTCCCCATCAGCTGTTTCATGGCATGCAGGAGGCTGGGGGGGGGGGAGAGGAGCGAGGGCATGGCAGGCTCAGGGGAGGGGGCAGGAAGGGGTGGAGTGGAGGCAGGGACTGTGGCAGAGCCAGGGGTTGAGCAGTGATCAACCCCCAGCACATTGGAAAGTTGGCACCTGTAGCTCCAGCCCTGGAGTCGGTGCCTATACAAGGAGCCGCATATTAACTTCTTAAGAGCCGCAGGTGGCTCCGGAGCCACAGGTGGCTCCGGAGCCACAGGTGGGCCACCCCGACCTAGAGCATCAAGTCCATTAGTGTGTAAGGCTTAGCTAACTCAATCTCTTCTGTGGTTCAGCCACTAGAGGGCACAGAGACCCACACTGTATTAACATGCATGACACCTTCTCCATTGCTGAAGTTCAGCAACTCAGCTGGCAGCCTTACAAATACTACATGAATTTGAGAAAAGCAAATTGTCACAATCTTTCAGGAAAAAAGAATTTATTTAAAGCCAGTACAAAAAATACAAAGGCACATAAAACTCCTTTTGCTGTCACCTGACTTACAGATATAAAGCCTGCAGTACATTCAAATGAAAAAGGTTACCCTTTTAACACTAAAATGGTCACTTTGTAAATAGAATCTATATAGAAATAGAAAAAATATTTATAGTAAGAACAGCAGCATAGAAAATATACTATTGTATTACTTTTGTTCACCTTCCCAGTGTATACAATACTGTCTGGACATTGGCACTAAAAAGTGCACGTTTACAAACAAAATAAACTTTAAGAATATTGTACAGGACAATAAATCTAACCAGTAGATTTAAAAATAAAAGAATGGTAAAAATTCTCAGTAACAAACATCCTGACCCAAATGCCTCTGTACAGCAAGATGACAAAACAAGTGACTTGAAAATATTCCGATTTTTAAGCTATTGATGAGAAGTAGTTGTCTTCGCTAAAAAAAAACTCCTCTAAGAGCAGCAGCACAGAATTCTCTGTCCCGGGGGGAAGGGGCACTATGGTGGATTTAAACCACCTTTCCTCCCTCCCTTTACTAGAGAAGCCCCTGGTGTAGTTTAGACACCCCTGGAAGCTTGTCTAAATTACAGTAATCTCTCAGGGCAGCCCTGCAATCTCCATGATGCTGGCGTTTCTGCCTGACACATCCCTCCATACCCCACGCCTACCACTGGCATATTGCCTATACCAGCACTTGCGAGAGGGTCCCCAAAAAAGAGCCTATGGCCATCTTCCTCAGTGCCTACCCTGGAGGAATCCTTTAACAACTGGAATGAGGATTTTAAGGCCCCTTTACACTGCTATGGCCCTATAACTCAGCATAAAAGGGCCAGAGAGGCGTTTGGATCTCTCCCATGGTCTTGTTAGATATAAAGGATTTTAGAACAAGTAATTTCCGAGCTGGTCTATCAGCTGAAGAAAGAAAGTATGAAACTGAAATACTGGAATATTTTTTCAAGTTTTTTTTTTAAAAAATCACTCCCATGTTATATATTTCCCCCCTCACAAGCAGACCATCCTGCATGCTAATTTAGGAATGGAGAAGATCTGTCAAGCAGGTACAATTTCCTTCTACCAAATTTAAAATCTACATGTTTAAAAGGAAAACAATTTATGGTTAGAAGTACATGATCCAGTAATAACCATAAACAAGACTACCGAGGAAGTGGAAGAAAGGGAAGGGTCTTACAGCCTTTTGCATACTGTGTATAGCTGACAATATTACTCTGCAGAAGCAGCTTCTCCAGATTTTATCATAATTAAGGCTCTTATATTGCAGATTCCCAGACTTACAAAGATCCAGGATGAATCTTTTCAATTTTACAGTATAATCCACTAGTTCAACTAGCCTGTGCCAGCTAACAACTCATTGTGAAGAATGATGAGCAACATTTATGATGTGGGAAGAGAGTACAGAACATCAGTGAATTAGCAGACCCCACATTTATGCTCATTCTGCATATACAATATACTAACTAAATCCATTCATAACCCCAGATCCCACCAATTAAAATGGGGACGCTTCACCTAAATATGCAAAGGTGCAAACAGAACACCATTTATCCATTCAGCTCCAAACCCCAAAAAATTATTCAAGTATCTTGTGTGGAATGACAGAAATAATGTCGTTTCTATATTGACAGTTTTCACAACAGAAGGGAAAACTACATACCTTGTAATTGTTTACTACAGTCTCTTCTCCTATCCTATGACACAGGAATTATGCACAAATAGCATTATAGTGTCACCTTCTGGAAGCAAACAAACAAAAAACGCAAGGCACCCCCATCAACGCTGGGCATATAAGCCTCAGCCACACCCAATCCCTTCAGTTAGAGATACTTCCAGAGCAAAGGGGAGGGGGGGGGTTATCAGAGAATAAAAGATTGTGTAAGAGTTGAAAGAAGAGGACAATATACAGACAGCAGCAGCACATCCCCCAAGAGGGGAGAAGAGCCGGACATAGGATAGAAGACGACCATGACCAACAATTGGTAGTTTTTTCTCATAGTACGTCTTACTCTGTTCTCATCTCACAATACATAAATCAGGGACAGATAGTGGATGGCTGAGGTATGCACATGTAAAAACACGGACTCCAAGACCTTTCTTGAGAAAATCCAAAACATGTTTTGAAGCAACCGAAACAGTACAGTGATGTTCCTGAACTGGCACCAGGCTGAAAAGATTCATCAGAACCAAGAACCGTGGGTGCCTCAGAGCTACCAAAAAATCACAGCTGCCTTGTCCTACCTGATTTTTTTTCCAGCAGCTTTTCAAGCAGCAGCAGTAACCCAGCTCTTGACACTCCAACGCCATGCAAATGCATCATATAGGAGAGCCCAGGGGCTGGAAACAGACACAGGTAAACTTGGCTATGGTGCCAACTTTCGACAAATGGCCTTCAAAACTTGGGGGAGGCTCCATTCTCCTGGAGCCAAATGGCTGTGGCTGAGCAAGGGTACTGTTGCCCTCCAGATAAAGGGCCCGAAAGAAGAGCAGACTTGTCTTTATCCAGGTTCCCAGATGGGATGCCTCCACCAAGAGTGAGGTCCTGCAGGTCCCCCCCAGCAACTGACATACTCCACTGTCATGCAGTTGTTCCAGTGAACAAAGATATGGGAATTGAGAATTAAGGATTCCAAAGCTATGAGATCCAGACACACAGCCTGCAGTTCAAGGAGATTTATACCGAATGTGTGTTCCTCCACCTAACAGAGGCTCTAAGTTAACAAAATGCCCAGGTGTGAGCCCCCTCTAAACCCAAGAGATTTGCATCAGTGGTAATACAAATGGGGCCAGGGTGAATAGAAAGGAGAGCCATGCAAACAGCTGCAGGTTTTGCACATGATTCCAAGGAGGAAGAAAGAGTGTTATTCTCCAAGGAAGGAACAGGAATGCCATCTGGATAGGAAGAAGGACTGCAGGGGGTAAAAGTGGAGCCCCACCCAGGAGATCCACACAGGCTGCAACATGGCTCAATAATCAAAGGAGGCTCCAAGACAGAACCAGGGAGGAGCACTCTGACTGATGACAGAGTTCTCAAAAGAACGGAATCTGGCCAGGGGAATGAAAGACTTTCCTACTGAAGAATTCAGGACTGTATCCAGATGGGGAAGTTCCCAGGTGGGAAAAATATTTGTCCCTGGTGATCTGGGCCACATGAGGCAAGAGGTCCTGAGACTGTAGAAGACATGAGGCTGAAGGAGCTTGAGTAAGGTTATCAGGCATCTGAGGTGGAGGCGGCTCACATTTTCACAAATATCAGCAAACGACTTCCAACAATGGCAGGGCTGATGTGCTATGGGGGTGCTATGGGGGTGACCCTGGCTTGAGCGCAGCTGGGCTGCTTTGGGAAAGCAGGGGAAAGAAGTGTTTAAACAGCAGCCTCCTGGGCCCAAGAAAGACCTGAATCCCACAGAACGAAGGGCTGACCTGTCAAAGGGTACTGAAGAGGACTCCTGCCTACACCTGAGCACAGGCTTTCAACAAAGGGTAAAAGGGAGCACACTCACCGAGGATGCGGGGTGGTTCTTGGAAGAATCCACATGCTTCTTGGTAGCAGCATCTAGACAAAGATATCAAGCCCTTTAAAAGGGGAGACTGGCCAGCTTTGACTTTGCTCCCTCATCTGCATTCCACTCCCAAAGCCAAATGTGTCTCTGACCCACAGTGGAAACTCCCCATGCAGGCAGCTTCACACAAAAAGGAAGCGGCTTCTATAGAACAGGGGATGGTGGAGAAAGCCTCGTAGTTCTGGTGTCACAGGAAAAATCAGAGGAGAAATCCTTCTGGAGGTCCACCTACAGACCTTAGGCCCCACAGGAAAATGGGCTGCAATATGCAAAGTCACTGCTATGAGCTTTTAAGCTGTATTAAGGGCCAAGTCCACCCCAAGTCTTGTCCATAGGGTGGACATATACTCCACAAGAGAACAATTTAGAAGTGAGACATAAGGCCAATGCACCCACCCTAGCAATAGCAAATACTTTGTCTGGTTCCTCAGGAGAAACAGGATAATATCTAGCCTTAGGACGAGTCTCTTGGGTGCACTGGTCCACGCAGTTCCAATCCTCAGACACAAGGTCCAGGATGGCTGAGTGGAAGGGAAAGATAACCCCCTCCTCTGCAAAGAGCCATGTATGCTTGAAAACAGTATCTTTGGGGGTCTCCAGGTAGGGGACACTGCTATCTGCATCAGAACTAGGATCCACCAGGGGGCTCAGAGGCTTGATCTAAGTCCAGGAGCAGATCACGGCCAAAATCTTGGTTCCTCTTGCCTAAGACCGGGTTTTCAGGACTAGAAATACATTTGGGAAGGAGGTCCGCAAAGGCCCTTCAGAGGAGGGATGCCTGCCAAGGGCTAGGGAGGGGAAGCTGCCACTGCCACTTTAAAGGTGGAATGAAGACTGGGCATACCATCCCTGAATGGTGGCATTTATGTTTATCCATTTGAGCAGTTGGCCCCAGATGAAACCCCCTTGCACGGTGGTGCTTAACTGAACAGCAACTTGCTCTGCCTTCAACTCTCCATCCTCCAGCAGAGAAACTGCTGCTGGCTTCTTACTTCTCTCTTTCTCCCCATTCTCCTCACCCCTCAGTTCTGTCCTATTTTTTCTTTAAATTTCCCACAAAAGAGAAAGTGAAAAGAGATGGCAGGAGAGCTGAGGCAAGGGGTCCACGCTTCCAAAGGAGGAAAGGGAAACTGAGGGACGGTGCTGAGGTTTATATGTCCAGCGGCAGGATCTAGCAGTTCTTTGCATCCTTGCTTCCAGATGGTAGCATTATGATGCTATGTGTTCCAGATTCCTGCAACAGAGGGTGCGAGGACAAGGAGACATAAGAAATAAGAATTTGGCAAAATATTTTGAAGTTCACAGCAGAATGAGCTGAGCTGCAAACCATCTTTTGACAGAGTTACTGACCTTGACGTTTAAAAACGGGCACATTTATCACATGTAAAGTTGAGACTATAGTATTTAAATAAAGATCCAAATCTTATAAAAAGAATGGGGATCACAACAGGCTAAAATTAAAGAGACAATTTGGTTCCCTAGCTTACTACTTTTACTTTTCTCTTTTTTTTTTTTTTTTTTTTGGGGGGGGGGGTATGTTAAGATTTCCTGCAAGGCCTTTGTTTTGTATATGAGCTAAAATATTCCATAAGACCCAGTAAGAGACATTCAGCACAAAAAATAATGTAAAAAACTAATTTCTGCTGTGCTGCCATTGCTAAACTGGAGCTGGCCTACAAGAGTAAGGGATTGTTTTCAAACTACTGGCGTAAGGGGTAGTGTTTTTGCAAAGTCTATTGCCCTTTAGGGTAAGGTAAGTGACTTTACAAAACTGCACCACACCACACATAAACGGCACTTATTGGGATAGCCCCCTTGGGTGACACTAGTAGGTGTGCCATCACATTATGGAACACAGTGAGGAATCACAGTAGAGCAGGAGCTGGCTGAGTGATTTTAGGAAGCTAGCAAAAGCAGGAACACATCAGGTAAGTTCATTTGTGTTGAACGCTCCCCCATCCTTTCCCTTCAGTATATGGGTATCATACACAATTTTTCCATTTAGCTCAATTAAAACAAGAACTAGATGAGCAGGCTACCTTTAAGCATTCTAAAATGGAGGACTAGCTAACAATGCAAACTGCCAAAGAAACACAGTCGATACATACTGTAATACACAGTATGCTGATTAAATGTTTCTATAACACCATGTCACTCAGTTTTCCACCAAATAGCCTTCCAAATGTAATTAGATTAATTGCCTGTGAAAGTCTCTTCTTGTAAGTGAAGGGTAGGAGTAGGAATAAATTGTGGAGAAATAAGTACAATTTTAACCAAAGAAAGATTCAAAGGGAGGAAGATAGACAGTAATATTGCATCAATTTTAAATTTTTTTAAAAAAAATCAATACTGCTTGACATTTTAAAAATATTTCTCCATTAAAAACAGCTCACAATGTAAAAGAAATTTTACTACATCCAAAAATAAACTGAACAGAGCATAAAATTTGGACAAAGTTAAAACATCAGAACTGTATCAATCACATAATAGTACAAATTAAATGTACCAATTAATGAATTAACTTGACATCATCTAGAAGAGTAAGGGTATTTCTCTACTATGAGATAACATATTCATTCTTGGTGACCTGTCAACCTGTAGCTGCACAAAATATTATATATAGATTAACTGTTAATTTACTAAACTAAAAAGATAACGTATTTCAAATTTACTCTTGTACTATTGTTTCAGAATAATGGGGCACACTTGGTACTGGGACTGGAAGGGAATCAAAAACATTAATTCATTTTAAAAAGTCTTTTAGACACAGATTTTCACTTGATTTTGAATGAGTGCTAGGCCTTACCCTGCAAAAACTCATGCATGTGAGTAGCTTTACTTATTAAGTTGTCCAGTGGGACTACTTATGTAAGTAAAGTCACTCATGTGTGACTGCAGGATAGCTCTTATTTTAATTCAATACTTCTTTCCCGCTGAGTTCTCCAATATATTATGTAAAATTGGAAGGTGGTGTACCATCATCCCTCCATCTATTCTCGAGTTTCACCACCCTACATCAGTTTTACAAAAAGAGGTACTAAGCTGTTGTGAGGCACGCAGAATCTGAGCAGAATGAGAACAGGCTTAAAAGTTCATGAAAAAAATTAAACATCTACTAAAATCATTGACTATTCAAGCATGTTTTGGCCAAAAACTTAAAACCGGATGACTGACTGACTGAAATAAGAGTGTACTGCAGAATTGATACTTCTGCTGAAGGATCTGTATTTGCATATGCAAGGTTGCAGAGCCATTTCTTTCCTTAGTAAAATAAAAAAGGAGTTACATTTCAGCCTCCCTCCATTTGTGTATATATTCCCGCTCTAGAGAAAATGGTTTCTTTTCTTTCCCTTTTTCTTGTTCCTCTGAAAGCTTAATATTGACATGAAATCAAAATTGCCAAATATATGTATCTTCTTTTCATGATCTGTGCTGGTCTTATAGTTCGTGAAAGTCTATAAATGTTACCCTGCTTCAGTAGCTTCCTTCTCGAAAATAAAGTAAACTAATCTGTTAGCTTGCATTTTCTGAGATAAGGGGTGAGATTCCATGAGGCACAGCACAGAACTTGCAGCCCAGCACAGAGCTATGCTGGCTTTAAATCATCTTTGTGTGCAACTGGAGAGTCTTCCCCTGTTCCACCCCCCGGGGGCTTATCTAAGCTGCAGTCGTTTTGCACAGGGGTCTTCTGGGCTGCAGCACTGCCCAGAATCTCCACATGGCTCTACGCTACAGCAACACTTCCCCTACCCCCAATCACTGTTCCCTCTAAGCTGTGTACGCGCACACAGATCCTAAACCCCACGCACACGGCGAAACGCCGCACGCACAAAAATTTGCACAGAAGCACAATTTGCACAGAAGAAATTTTTTGTGCACACGGCCTATCAAAAATTAGAGGGAACATTGCCCCCAATACAACCTGTCCATCCCCACAACTGGCATGTCGCCACACCAGGACTTGTGAGAGGTTCCTCCGAAGGCAGCCTGATGTGCCTGAACTGAGGAACTCTCCCCTGAAAGGGACATAGGGCTTTTTGAGACCCTTGACATCACCCTGGCCCTTTTAGACAGTATGAAGGGGGTGGAGCTGAGTCAATCATTCACCCTAAAAGCTAATTAAAAATATTTATTACTGCCCGTTGATATGCTTAGCTGCAAGACAACCCAGATGCAAGCTAATCTGTACCTGATAGGTTAGGACAAGTTTTCTTACAAGAAAACAAAACTATATCTAAGAACATTAACAGTATGTTTGATGAACTCCTATAAAATTGAAGTGTTTACATCATCTGTGCACGGTTCTACCACCAGAGTTGGTCATAATAAATTACAAAAGATGTATTCCTCATAGCCTAGATTAAATTAACCAGATGTATATTTAATGTGCAGTCAATTATAAATCTCTTTTTAATAAAAATTTTTAAAAGGCAGCATATTTAGATTGTGCAAATGCGAAGTACCAGCATTATTCCATAACAGACACCCACGTTGTTATATTTTTACTGTATACTGCCAGTCATCGTTGAACAAAAACAAGGAGTTACTTCTTATAAGTAATCCCCTGGTCATACTGAGCTTTTTCCTTTAATATCCATTTTGATAGTAGCTTCAGATTGCTTGTTCAATTGCTCTTCTGTAAAAGTGATGTAAGAATACACCAGGCTTCCAGCAATACTACAAAACACATTTTTTGGTAAAAGAAAGAAATGATGCATATTAATGTTAGAACTCCATGTAAATTATCACATAAGTACCATTCTACATACTCTGAACATATTTTAAACTTGCATTCCTTCTCCAATTTACTAATATACTTTCACCTAGAATCCAGTACAGAGATTGTTCTGAATTTTGATTCATTCCTACCATTATACCAAAATATCCATGGATCTCATTATGCAGATGTACCAAATGCTAGGCCTGGTGGTACAGGAGTTGGGGTGGGCCTATAAATAGTTGGCCAGCCACAGAAATACAAATGTTTGATGATACTCTGCCCCCATTTTAGATAGACTGCAGAAGGAACAAAGGAAGTTAAATTGGTAAAATAGGAGTCTGAGCAAGGTGATGAAGTGTCAGCCATAAATTTGATTTATAGCTGACACTTGACTGATTCTCCCCCTGCCCCCCTTGAAATCAGTCCTCTCCTCTCCATATGGTTCACATTGTGTTCAATCTGATTTATAACCCATTTTCTCCAACCACTAAATATCTAGAGACCTTAATTTTATTTTCACATGCTTCAGTGTTGTGAAGTTACCATTCAGAAGAACATAAGCGAAAAAGGAGTATGTGTGTTCTTTGCAGAACTAAAAACAGAGTTTCTTTTGAGGTCATTTTATTCATTTAGGGTACCCCTCGACCTGTGTCAGACCATAAAATACTGTATACCCAAGTGCATTAAAAAGCTTAAGTAACTTCATTGTCTCTTACTACCTTTAGTTAAAAATTTAAAATTTTTTAAGAGGTAGAAAGAGAGAATGGTCCAAATTTACAGGCATATTTTAGCAGCACAACCTCTCCACCTTAAAACAGTAATGAAACCAGTGGTACTATTTGGAGACTTTATATAATTTGAGCTGTAAATATTCAGCCAGAGCATTAAAAAAAAACACTTAAAAACCCCAAAAACCCCACATGGATGCCTTTTAGGTCAGTCAAATGTAGGTCAGGATTGTATCAACTTTCAGTTTATGTGCACTGAATACCAAACAACCCCTGATGCTGCCTAGAATGAGCAGTGCATTCTTACTGGGTGCAGATGCATTTCTGAATGTTTTAAAAAGAGAACCAGGGGGGTATATGTTGCTTTTTTCAATGGCTTTTGAAGATAAGCATTGAAGTTAGAAGAATTGGGGATCGGGGGGAAGGGGTTGTTTGTTTTAGGTATTTATCAGTTGAAAAGGTAAGTCTCTGGGTTTTGTTTTTTTAAATTAAGTTTGTTAAGTTATTTTCCCTTATGTTGTCTCAACACATGAACTCTACACAGTGACATAGGGTTTGCTGTAGCAGATGATGATCAATGAACCAAGTAGTCCAATTACTTATGCTTATTTTATAAAAGATACACCCATAGTAGTCATACTGAATACACACACCCGCTTCTATGAAAGGTTTTATCCACTTAGAATCCCACATTTTCCTCTTCCTTTACCTCCAAACAAATCTGTTACCAAAAACGATGGAACATTATGCTGGCGATACAAAAAAAAAATCTTAACTAAAAGCTATGACAAGAGCACGATCCTGCAAGCAGTATGCATCCGATGAAGTGAGCTGTAGCTCATGAAAGCTTATGCTCAAATAAATTGGTTAGTCTCTAAGGTGCCACAAGTACTCCTTTTCTTTTTGCGAATACAGACTAACACAGCTGTTACTCTGAAACTTAATTTTATGCACATAAATCCCTTGATATCAATGGGACTACTCACATTCATAACTGTTTTCAGGATCAACACTTAACACTTCCTACCTAATAGTTCTGTAGTGGGTTCCTCCCACCAGACTTCAACAAAGTGCAGTTGTACTTTGGAAAGTGATCCTATTTGGATGGTCCAATACTTCTTTTAGTAAATCAATAGCAAGTTGCTCAATTTACAAAGTTATTTTGAAGAGTGTTACATAGTTTTCAGTTTTCTTACCTGATATTTAACCCAATGAAGTTTGTCCACGTGAAAATATAGTCTCCTCCAAAAAACATTCCAATATAGGTTATTAATATATTCTGGAAAGAAAAAAGAAGATTTACACATTTTGCTTAGAATTTTTAAAAGAGCTGTTTATGTATATTCCACTTGCATAAACAGGATGCTGAAACAAACAGAAGAGTGTCAGAAGAGATAACTGTGTGAAAGATACTGACATTTGTATTTATAATACTGACTTGAAAGTTACCATATCAGGGCTACCGAAAATATTAAAATATTCAGGCCTTAATTTTTTTTTCTTGTCTTGCTGTTTTTCCTTCATATTGCCCTAGTAGCCCCAGAAATGTTTTCCCCCACCCTGCAAAACAAAGGCTCAATATAGGGGAAAGAACACTTCTGCTAGACAACCTTACAACAAAGTACCCAAAGCACTAATTCTTCAGAAAGCCAGTTGTTCTCTTGCTCTACCTCTCTTCCTTATCTGAAAGTAGGCAGATGCTGACATGTACAAAAATCCTTACCCTTAAAAAGTTATGCATTTCCAAAACTACACATACTGCTAGCAGTCCTAATTCTAGGCCTAACAGCTTCAACAGCAGTTTTTTAGTTCAGATATGTTTTTATTGGTTTCCCATTTCCCCTCAGGCATCACTGGTTTTGTTAAAGACTTCATTTAGATCTCCAGTCATGCCAAAGTTCAATATCCTCAGCTTTCAACCACACAACCATCCACAGGGTTTCTACAGTAGGGCTCTACAAGCGCTTAGTACCAATGCATGAGGCAAAAGATATTCAAGCATTTACCCAGAGCAGAGATCCATATACAATGCTGGCAGCTACAGATCACTATTGAGAACTCGTATCAATGAATGGAAAGGAGCCTATACAGACATGGGAGGGCTCTTGGAGTTCGTCAGCCCGAAAGGGAAGTTCTGCTCTGGAAGGGGATATCACATAAAAGCCTCTGTATCTTTTCTCTCTATGTATTCCTTGTCTATCCTCTAACCCCTTAACCATGCCGAGCCAAGACACTAGAAGGGTGAGCTGGATTCTATTGTGGCTCACAAAGCAATGGAAGAGTTAACTAATTTCAGGACCGCCCCTGAGACCCTCTGCCCCTTATCCAACCCCTCGGCACTGGCCGGGCCCCCTTAATGCGCTGCTCAGAGCAGCGTGTCAGAGCTTTACCGCGTTCTATGCAAACCCACGTTATATCGGGTTGCATTATATCGGGATAGAGGTGTATGTAAAAGGTTGTTATAAAGAGGAGGGTGATAAATTGTTTTTCTTAACCACTGAGGACAGGACAAGAAGTAATGGGCTTAAATTGCAGTAAGGTAGACTCAAGTTAGATATTAGGAAAAACTTACTAACTGTCAGGGTAGAATATAAATTCTACTGGAATAAATTGCCTGGAAAGGTTGTGGAATCTCCATCATTGGAGGTTTTTAAGAACATGTCAGACAAACACCTGTCAGCAATGGTGCAGATAACACCTTAGTCCTGCCTCAGTGCAGGGGACTGGGCTAGATGACCCATTAAGGTCCCTTCCAGTCCTAAATTTCTATAATTCCTATGCTTAATTTTCATTAAATTGCCAGCCTCAAAACCTCTCCTTAAAGTGATTTGGAGCATTAAGAAACATTACTATTTTAAATTAGTAATTTTAATAATTTAGTAATTAGTAATTAGTAATTTTTGAATGGCTTCTTTTAAATAAACAAGTTAAATATTTTCTCCAGATTCATAGGACTTAGCTGAGACTGCTTTACTCTGCCCAAGTGTAAATTGTTTAGGTTAGGAATGATAACTAAACAGGATTCACCAACCCTTAAATGATATTCCTTTACCCAGGTACAAACTATGATAGTAATCTGTGCTCCACTAAGATAGAACTCACTACTGAATTGCAGAATAATACACTTTGATCTTAATTTATCTAGGGAACAACATCCCCAGGAGCCCAGACTCATTCTCGATGGTGTAATCTCTCCATAATACAGAAGACATACAGAAGAGATTGCGACTGAAATAGCCACTGGTTATAGCTCACCAGTTTCTTTCTTTCCTTTCTTTTATTAATATGTTATTCATAATTCATAAGTGTGAATATTTTGCTAGGGTTTAGTTATGGTACCCCACAACACATAGTAAGAACCACAGGTGAGTAAATGGGAGGTCACACCCTTGAATTGGCATTAAGAGAGACAATCATGAAGATTTGGTTCACTGTTCTTGGTTTGACTAATTTTATTCTCCAAATTACTAAAAATCCCTACTTAGCTCTCAGTACCCCTTCCACTCATACAAAAGCCTCGGAATATAAACATTTATGCTGCTTTTGTAAGCATCATACAGGTACTGTTGTATCACAGGAAATGGAAACTTAATAAACCTGACAAATATTTAAGAGATTTATGCAATTTACCTTAATACAGCCAACTATTGTAGTTGTAAGAGCAGAATTATACTGAGTGCAAAGAACTGTGGAGTACATCAAAATAAACCTGCAGCAGGAAAAAAACAAAAACACACACACAACATTCAGCTTTTCATCATTTGAGGGTGCATTTATTATACTAACATGCCATCTCACTCCCTGCTCTTAATTATATGCCATACTACAGAGTTTCCAGAACTCCTTGTTTGGAGAGACTTGTATAACTCACTATGGAGTAATGTTATCTGTCAAAATACACAGCAATAGCGTCCCCACACCATCATGTACACTATACTGTATTGTACAGGAGGACCTTACTAACTCGCATTAACAGGGCAACCCTTTTGTGATCACTAAATTTAGGAAATTAGTGAGTGAGCAAATAGACCAGAAAACCTAAGTAAACTACAGCACAAATTCTACAAGTAGTTTAGTTTGACACGCGTAATTTAGTTTTATTTATAAGAAGTTATGTTTGTAAGTGTCACAAACTACAATTTTTAAATAGTAATGAAATCTTAGTAATGACTTCGTTACCACACTCTATTGTTTAATTCTTACTAAGAAGCGGGCAAAGACCACTGGCGTTCGTGGAATCAAGTTTGTAGATTAGCAAAGTGAGAGTTGGTAAGACTCTACTAGTTTAAGTAAAAGGAAATAGTAAAATATGCCATTGCTAATAAAAACAGCTAGATTTAAGAAAATAAAAAACATTAGTATGCAGTCTCTCCAAAAAAATCAGAATACACAGTAGCATCTGAATTTCTAACTCATGAGACAGCCTTTTAAGCAATAATCTCTCTCCAAACTATTTTGTGCTACCACTGAAATTGGACTTTCTACTAATTAGAACTTTATCAACAGTAGTACTTCTCTGCAAAGGTTATTCTCCCCACAATTAACATTAATGGGAGTTTCATGTGCATACTGACTACATAGCAGGCCCACAGAGTAAGGCACTTCCTTAGTATCTATTGGTGGGGATATAGTAGAGAGACTACTACTCGGAGGAAACACCACTAAAGTTGAAGTAAATCCTTACCCCATTACACATGAAAGTGTAAACTGTATAACGAAGAGTGTATCTCCCCAGCCTTTATATTCCATTGCCTGAAACAAACAAATCCAATCTTAAAAATGAAAAATAATGTTCTAAAGTAGACTTTAATCCTTTAACGTTTTGCCGCAGTTAATGTGAAAGCCAGAAATGAGCACTAAAGGATCATGGCCATAAGGAGGTCATTCACCAATGCTATTACAGCCTTCTGAGTACAGCGGCTTAGTCTGAATCCAGATTCTAGAATCACAGGAGGAACGTAAGGCTAAAAAGGGACCTTGAGAGGTCACCGAGTCCATCCCTCTGCACTGTGGCAGCACCAAGTAAATTTAGACCATTCCTGTATGCAGTGTAGTTGTAGCTGTGTTGGTCACAGGATATTAGGCACACAAGATGGGTGAGATAATATCTTTTTTACTGGACCAAGTTCTAATGTTGAAAGAAAAGCTGTCGAGCTTACACAGAGTTCTTCTTCAGGTCAGTCAGCCCAGACCTGAAGAGGAGCTCTGTGTAAATTCACCAGCTTGTCTCTCTCACCAACAGAAGTTGGTCCAGTAAAAGAGATTACCTCACCCACCTTGTCTCTTTTAGACCATCCCTGAAAGGTGTTTTTAAAAACCTCCAATGATGCTGATTGAACAAACTTCCTTGAAAGCCTATTCAAGAGTTAACCTACCTATATAGTTAGAAAGTATTTCTTATCTAACCGAAATCTCCCTTGCTGCAGATTAAGCCAAATCTCATGTCCACTGAAAATAGGACAAAAGGTGACAATTGATTGGTCTTCTTTATAGCAGATCGTAACATATTTGAAGACTTATCAGATCCCCGATCCCTGGGATGCCTTTTATCAAGACTAAACATGTCTATTTTTTTTCATCTTTCCTCACAGGTCAGGTTTTCTAAATCTTTTATTTTCTTATTGCTCTCCTCTGGACTCTCCAATTTGTGCACATCTTTCCTAAAGTGTGGTGCCCAGAACTGGACATTGTAGTCCAGCTGAGGCCTCACCACTGCCAACGAGAACGGGACAGTTACGTCCCATGTCTTACATATGACATACCTGTTAATACGCTCCAGAATAGCAGCCTTTTTTTGCAGCTGCTTCACAACATTGACTCTCAATTTGTGATCCACTATAACCCCCAAATCCTTTTCAGCAGCACTATCACCTAGTCAGTTATTCCCCGTTTTGCAGATGTTTGTTTCATTTTTCCTTCCTTAGTGAAGTGCTTTGCACTTATCTTCACTTAATTTCATCTTGTTGAATTCAGACCAATTCCCCAATTTGTCAAGATTATGAATTCTAATCCTGTCCTCCAAAGTGCCGACAAGCCCTCCCAGCTTGGTGCCATCTGCAAATTTCATTAAGCACACTCTCTACTCCATTATCCAAGTCATTAATGAAAACGGACAGCACCAGACCTTGGACTGTCCCCTATGAGACTCCACTAGATAAACTCCAGGGTGTCACATTGAACCATTTATAACTACTCTATAAGCATGGGTTTTCAACCTACTGTGCATGCACCCTACAGTAAATTAATCTAGGCCTTATTTCCCTACTTTGTTTTGAGAATGTCATGTGGGACTGTGTTAAAAGCCTTACTAAAATCAAGATATCACAGCTATAGCTTCCTCCCTATCCACTAGGCCAGTAATCCTGCCAAAGGAGGAAATTAGGTTGGTTTGGCATAATTTGTACTTGATATCTCTATGCCAGATTTGTGAAGCATTCAAGATACTAGCAGAGGATAGATGCTGGTGGACTCACACTCTTCTCTTTTCCCTCCCCAATGAGTCTACACAGGAAAAGGAGGCAGGCAGTAGTATTCAGCCTTAGCTTCTCGAGAAGCAATTGCTGACATGTAGTTTGCTTCTGTCATCCATTTACAGCAATATTCAGCATAAACAGTGAAAGTGGGGGATGTTTGTGAAATAGCGAAAGTGGGGTTAGTGTGCAGTTTAGAAACGACTGCTACCAGAGATGCAGCTCCACCAACGTGAGCAATAGAGATTAAAAAAAAAATAAGTCTAGCATTGACGGCGTTAAGCGCCTGTTGGCTTGTTTATATTACAAGTGGTACCAGTTTAATTCAAGGTGTTTAACAAAACCTGTTTAAATAAAAATAATTTTTAAAAAAAGGCAAAATCTGTGGTAAAACAAGGTCGCAGTTTAGAGAATCGCGAGTTAATTTTTTTTATGATACAAAGCTTCATACACAATTAATTGTTCCACAGTATTGTGTTTTAGGATAGCCTTTTAGTTCTCCAGCTGTGTCAAAGTTCTTTGCAAAGTAGATCAGGGATTCTGAAGCCAGAAGAGCAGCTCAACTACAGATCCCATTACCTTGGATATTAAAATCTAACACATATGAAGGTAATTTTAAAGTGTGTGATTTTATAAACTAACAGAGACAGCATTTTGAATGCTGTTTTAGAACAGGGGTTCTCAAACATCATTGCACCACGACCCCCTTCTGACAACAAAAATTACTACACGACCATAAGAGGGGGGACCGAAGCCTGAGCCCCATCCCCCACCCTCGGGGTGGGGGGAGGCAAAGCCCGAGCTCCACCACCCCCACATAGGGTGGACCAAAGCCAAAGCCCAAGGGCTTCAATCCCACGCAGGGGGCCTGTAACCTGATCCCCGATGCCCAGGGCTGAAGACCTTGGGCGGTGGGGTTCAGGCTTCGGCTTTGGCCCCAGCAAGTCTAAGCCAGCCCTGGTGACCGCATTAAAATGGGGTCATGACCAACTTCGGGGTCCCGACCCACAGTTTGAGAACCGCTGTTTTAGAAAGTTCTTGTAAAAATTAACGAAGTTACACTTCTTTACTGGTGTCAAAGGTACCGCTACCCTGTAATAAAAGATCCATAGCAGGGCTGTGGTTGGCCCAGGTCAACTGACTCAGGCTCATGGGCTAAAAATAGCTGTGTAGACATTTATGCTCCCCCTCATGGGGACTCCAGCCCAAGCATCTACATAGCAATTTTACAGCTACAAAGCCACACAGTGAGCCCAAGTCAGCTGATACAGGTCAGTCACGAGTGTTTAACTGCAGCGTAGACATACCCCAAGAGAGTAACAACTTATTATTCAAATGCAGTTGCTAATACTGCTATTGGGAGTTGAGGTCCATCAATTTCTAAATGATTTACATTTAGAACAGGCAAACAGTTACTAATGCCAACCCACAGCAGATGTTGCCAAGTGGCTGATCAAACCCCAGTTGTAGTATTATGAATGGCTTTGAGAATGAGTTATTTGTCTCTCAGTGGTATAATGTCTATTCCATTTTATACCTGAAGATTAGAGTAACACGTATACTACATCTATGAAAAAAGAAAAAGGAGTACTTGTGGCACCTTAGAGACTAACCAATTTATTTGAGCATGAGCTCATGAAAGCTCATGCTCAAATAAATTGGTTAGTCTCTAAGGTGCCACAAGTACTCCTTTTCTTTTTGCGAATACAGACTAACACGGCTGTTACTCTGAAACCTACATCTATGACACACACAAACACTCCAAGTGTATGTGTGACAGATTATAAATACATATATGCTTTTAAAAAAACCTATGCTACACAATTAGGCTTGGCAGAATTAGATTTTTTTAAACTAATTTCTATGGATAATAATGTTTCTTTTAAGCTTTTTTATCATTTAAATTTTCAGAGTTGCTGAAAATTATGTGTTAAGCATTTTTTTCCTATTTTCATCTATTTAAATTTTCACAGCTGTGGGAAATTATGGGTGCGACAATTATTTGATGACAGTAGACGCAGACTCAAAAAGTTAAAGCTTTATAAACATTAAAACACAAAGTGTCGTCATTTCAAAATATAAAGTAAATATCCTTAATTCAAACTCTAAAAATTCTCAAGCAATATTTTTCTTACTTTGCCTATCTAAATTTCAGAGCTCATCAATGGAAGTATTTTTCATCAGTTTGTATGTGTACACTGAAATTGACATTTACCAATAAATGTCCTTTCAAACCAAACAATACACTAATGCCACATAAATCTATTTGTTTCATATGGCCACCTATTGCATGGTAGAAAATACTGAAGACAAAAAATATAGTTTCATTGTGTTCTACAATAAAAGTGGAGAGGTTAATAAACTATAAACATAGTAAACTATGATGCTGTCATATTAGAAGTAGTGGTGCGCTATTTGGTGCCTTTGTTCCATACTTTGTAATGAAAGATGCTGTGAACAATAGTTTACAGAAAAATCCAAGAAGCACAGAGTTTAACTTAATATGAGACCCTTTGTTTGTTGTTTTTAATTGCATTAATACTTGTGCCACCTTCAAACATTTGGCCAATGCTGATCCATGAAAAAAAAGCAGAAGATACCTTAGTGAAACGGACAGAGACTACTAAACAACCAACAGTGGGATCAACAGGAAGTTGGAGGAGCGAGAAAGACAGGAGTGCCTGGGGGGCGACAGGGGAGGAACATGGGAGGGAAGTGAAAAGGAAATAATTCCTCGTACTTCACTTCCTGAGCCAGTAGGCGAATATTGCACTGTAGAGCAGCGATACTCAGAACGAGGGCTCACAAGCCACAAAGAGTCTCCTAAGGCTCTTTGCAGCACGTGGTATTAAAACACTGGTTTAATTATTAATCAAAGTTATTAACCAATCAGGATGCTTTTACTATGTTATTAACTAATGAAGTTTTCAACTTCCACTAAGTTATGAACTTATTTTGCTGTGAGAAAATTATATAACTAAATATAATATAGTAGTATTGTGAATGAAGCAATGAATTCACACTACTATGGCTCTTTTGGCAATGCTGATTGCTAATTTGGCTCCTGAACCACTGAGGTTGAGTATCCCTGCTGTAGGGAGTGCATCAAGAGTAGGCTGTTGAGAGTATGCCTCATGTCATTCCAACAGCAATCAGTCCAGCTGATTAAGGAACCCTATTCATTCGAAGGGAAGATTACTATAATACAGGAAGGAGATTTAAATGTTGCTAACAGTCACACAGCTGTAACAGTTCAGAGATGTTTTCCTTGGAGTGAACAGGAACTGCATCTTATTGTTTATCCTCTATGTATGACTGAAGGTCCCACGATATTAGGAGATAATATGTTGCTAGAGTTAATGTGACAATGAACTAAGCTTCACAGAACATTTAGCAGTGCATTATTAATGGGTTTGGCTTTATGTCCTTTGAGTTTATCTACAAGGCTGCTTAATGTTGCTTAGTTGTAACTAGGGGCTTGTCTTCACTACAGGGGTAAGTCAACCTAAGTTATGCTACTCCAGCTATGTGAATAACGTAACTGGAGTCAACGTACCATAGGTCAACTTATCCTTGTGTCTTCACTACACTGCATCTTCAGGAGACGCTCTCCAGTCAACTTACCTTACTCTTCTTGGGGAGCTGGAGTACTGGAGTTGACCGGAGAGCGCTCTGTGATAGTTTTTAAGCCGGTCTAGACCCGCTAAATCGACACCCGCTGTATCAATTGCAGCGACGTTCATCTCCCCGGTAGTAAGGACAAGCCCTAGGATGGGGAAAAGTCTCTTGCTTTCTTTGCCTATCTTAACTATACCGTTCTGAGTTTTTGTTCAAGCAGAACTCTTACATTAGTACATGTCCTGATTTCTATTACGTAGCCATCTGATGACAGACTTCTCCATTAATACTTTGTCATGGAAGCATAGCTTTGACAATCACCAAAGCTCAATTTAGTTCTAGTCTGGTTTCTGCCTAGTCGAGGGAAATAGTACTGAGTGTACAACCTCTGATGTAAGTTATTCTGAGAAGAGCAGAATCTCTCTCTTGGGGTTTGTCTTACATGTCCCTGCTGACACAACCTCTCTAGAATCTCATTTTCTTTGTAAACAGATCTAAGGCCAACTATAGATATTCCATTTCAAAGCTATCCTAACCATACACACACCCTTTGTATTTTGTAACTTAACAGTAGGTTTGAGGTGGAAAGCATCTATAATTAAAAAAAATGTCTACAGACATATAGCTGTACACATACAATAACAAATATTAACATCCAGTAGAGGTTAGCATTAAACACTACACTAATGCTTAAAAGCCGTCCCACAATCGAAGATCCTAGATATTGATCAGTATTTCTCTGGATGACAGACAACAGCACAACTGGCCAGATGACTTCAGGCATTTAGCAATAGTCATGTTAGATGCCTGAAAACTAACATTCCCAATTTAAAGTAACCGGCCTCCATGCCAAGCACACCAGCAGCATTATTTATTTATTTTTTAAATATAAATATGCACCCACACCCCAGTGAGTACTGGAGAAAATACAGGTTCTCTCCCCCCCCCCCACCTGTATGGTATTAGAAGGGTCTCTGGCTGGGTATATTTCCCAATTACCAAATAATGTCCCCTTTGAAGTATTTTAGAGAGGAAGGATGGGCCGGTGGTTAGTATCCTAGTCAAGAACTTGGGATACCTGGGTTCAATCCCTGATCCACCACATACTTCCTGTGTGACCTCGCACAAGTCACTTGGAAACTGAACCTCAATTCCCATCTGTAAAATGGGGATAATAGTATTATATACTATAGCAGTATTTCACAGAGGTGTGAGAACACACACATGAAAGATTGTGAGGCGCTCGAGACTAATGATGATGGGGGCCATGTATGTACTTGAAACAGACAGAAAAAAAAGCCAGCTGACTGACCAGTTAAAGAAACTTACACCTACCGGCTTCATTGAGGTTTATTCACTTCATTGCCATGAATTATTTAGATGTAAATTTTGCTTGCTCTCAGCACATAGCCATTTCTGCCTGCTGTGTAACTGGGAACTCAACAAGATGTCAATACCTTTGACATGAATTAATGAAAACACTACGTATAACCATGACAAATCATTGACATGCTTTAATAATGGGAAAATGTTATCAGCTTTTATTACAAACATTTTCCTATGGATCTGAAATCTTTTTGTCTGACAGTTAACGCTCCACAAAAATCCAGGTTTTGAGCCTCTTTACATAACAGCCAGCCACTCTTCCCCCTGTGGCTATACTTTTTATTATTGCTTTATTAATGCATTTTTTGGATTAGCAGAGAATGCAAAAATAAATTTAGTACAAAGATATGCTTTAGAAAAAAACAATGAAATAAAATACACACATTTATTAAATAAAGTTTCATAACCCTCTGGACGCTGAATTTTCTGGGACTAAGTTAAGCGGAATGAGTCTTTGATCACCTTCATTGCCAAGACCTTTTCCAGAGAGCAAAAGAAAGTTTACTCAAAAAATTGGGGAAGAGGAGGTTTCTACACATACTGTGAATACACAGACTCTACAGAGTAGCACAAAGCCGACATTCAACTCCACATTGGTTTGCTCTGATTTATAAAGGAGTATATTTCCCTCAAATATATTCCAGCTGAGCTGCCTTTGGCGTATCGCAAAGAGGAGTGGGGTGAGGAGGAAGGACAAACTGACACTCTGAAATACTTTCTGTTCACATCCAGTTCTCACAGCTAATCATATACTCATGATCAAAGCCATTGCCAGCTTTAATAAATTAAACAGGAAAAAAGATATTCCGAGGAGTAGATATCGCTTTAGATCACAAGACTTCCCTACTGAAATGTCTATGCAGCATCACAAACATCACAAAATAGTTTATGGTAAGTGTACATGGATTGTGATTTTATTAAAGGAACAATGCTAGTAACTGCTTTATATGATTATCTGTTTTCTCTACTGATATGTAAGAGATTTACTCATCTAACTGCCATTAATATTAATTGGCATTATCATTCACACAGAAGGAATTTATATGGGTAAAGGATATCCCCCACCCCTGATATTTACCTGCTTCACCATTTCACTTTTTAGTATAAGCTATCTATGGTTGAAAGCCTCAAGTAGTATCTCTTGGAGGGGGGAAGATATATCAATTTATTTTACTAAGTGGTGTTCAAGATCAGTGCTTTTGTCAGTGCTAGAAGAACAAATTAAGCACACTTACTTACATTCAAGTTCTAAATTTGCATACAGATGTTAAACACATTGATCTGTGGGAAGTCAGGTAATATACTGGTGAGTTAATATTGGTAAATATTAATATTTACTGTGTTCAAAATCCACCATAAATAAGCCAACTACCTCTACAAGTCAAAAGAAAAAAATCCAAGAAGTCTGCAGTGTTTCATCTTTCTAGTACAAGCCAATCAGGAATAAACCTACTCTGAAGTCTTCATATTTTCCTAGTACTTGGTTTTAATTATTTCATTCCTCTTTAGGAAAAAGGAATTGCTTAATTCTTATGAAGATCAGTATAAAGCCATTCCATGGATTTCATCGGAAATAAGGTGTCTCATATCAACAGTCACTAATTCTCTTAACTATTTATACTTAATTTTATAGGGAACTTCTGTGGTTTCTTCAGTCCTCCCTCCAAAAATGATCCCTTACATATAGTATAGTTTCACATTTACATATAAATGACAAATACTGTATAAAAAAACAAGTTGATAAGTTACAGAAAAACAAAGTCATTCTGCATTCACATTTGAGTTATGATGAATAGGAAAAAAACCATTTTCTCTAGCAATACAGAAGCATATATGACAGAAAATGTTTACTGAACAACTAAAGGCTTGCAATTTGGAACAAGAGTCCTACCTTTTGCACATCTCCTGTGAAATAGGCAATGGCCAAGGTGGGAAGAATCATAAACAGTGCATTGTAATAAAGCAGACCATACTTTCCCAGCTCCTAGGAACAGGAAATAGTTGGGTATTTAGGTTGGCTCCACCAAACAGAGACATAAAACCTTATACATAAAGCTACACAAAACCAGGTCTCATCAGTGAAATGAATGTGGTATTCCTGCATAGTTAGAAGGGAAACATGGACATTTTAAATATTATGAAATAAATCTGTCTTGTGTATGATACTTTTAGAACAACTGGGCAAATTCTGTGCTTGGATGTTCTTTCAGAGACCCATAAAGGCATTGCTGAAATATTAACAACCATCAATATTTGGGTCTGAAAAACTCAGGGACACAGCCATGTTTCATTTCAGGTAGAGAAAGCAAATTGGTTTGGAATTCACAGAGAAGACAAAAAGACAAGACAGAGAGGCCAGGTGTTCATCAGAATAAGCACAGTGCCTGGACACTCTCTAAGTAAATGACCTCCATGGGCCCACCAACCAACCACTGATGTAGACAGAGCCAAACTGCGTTGGACCCGAAGAAGAGCTCTGTGTAGTTCAAAACGCTGTCTCTCTCCCCAACAGAAGTTGGTCCAATAAAAGATATTACCTCGCCCATTTGTCTCTTTTGGACACCTAAAGCAGGAATCACGACTGAGCCTTCATTCTGTTTGAGTTTTCTGCATCATTATGGTTTGGCCCTGTTTACACCAGCAGCCAAAGCATTCAGTAATAATTTTCTGAGAGGAGGCAAGGTGCATTGTTGGGGGAGTTGTGTTTTGACATGCGGTATCTCATATACAGACCAACTCCCAATACAGACAGAAAGAGGAGTGTACCTCCAGCAGGCTTGATGGAAAACTATTTATCAGACTTGTAAAATTCTCCCTTACAGTTTATTAGGCAATACTTTTACTTAGTTTGACTTCCATACAGCAGGCTTGGAAACCTGGTTAATAGTTATCATTAATCAAATGGAAGTGTCTTCACTGTCAAACAGATTGCAGCTATGCCCTGGAGCACTTCAAGATTGCAGGATACGTTTATAATGCTAAAATGGTCTATGACAGCCCACAGAAGAACAGATACACCTATAGCATACCTAGCTCAAAATTTTGCCATTTTCCATAGCAGCAGACTGGTGACATAAGCCACCTTATACATACACAAGCTGCCTTATCCTATGCTCAAAATATGATTCTATGCTACACAAAAACATGTAACTTCACCACAGGAAACTAAAGGAGAAGAAGATTAAGAAAAGCATTTTAAGCACCAGACTCAACATTCACAATAAATATAATCAAGAAAATGCTTCATATCACAGGCAACAGATGCTCCAAAAATTATTTACAGTGGCTTGTACTTGTATCTTCCTGGCTAGATTAATAGAAATGGAGTTCACTAGCAATGTAAAGGTTTATCCTCCACCTTGTAATTAAAAGTTACACTTAGCCCTCACACGTTATGTTGTGAACATCTGATAAGCTCATTCTTGTACTTTCAGGGTAGCCTAAACAATCAGTTTCTCTTTCTCAGATGTTGAACTACTAGGAACTTAGCAATACTGCTGAGACCCTAACTGAATACAGCACATTTACGTTCAAAGGAGATGAACAGGGACTCCCAATTGCCCCAAAAGTACACTACAGATCATCCCTCAGACCCAGTGTTAAAAAACTACATAGTTGCAACAATAAGGACAGAAGTTCATGTCCAGGTCCGGCTGCAGAAAAAAGGGTAGAATAGGGTGACATATCAGCTCTCCCTGTCTTTGAAAGCAGTGGGAGGGAAGATGTGGTCAGTTCACTGTCTAATGAAGAACCAGGTTTTTAATTCTTTTAAACAACCCTGACTTTGCAGTTAAATAGCCAAATTATTATTTCACGCAGATACAAATAAATATAGCTCCAACAACAGTGAACTGGTTATGCTTACAGTTTGATAAAACTGGATTTACAGCTTATTTCAAAATACATGCAACTGTTTTATTTTCAAATACAGAAGCGTCAAGTTAAGATCCAGAAGAATATTGTTCAGGACAAACAAGAATAAGGAGCAACAAAAGTTCTACTTTAAATAATAGTGACAAGATGTGCTGAGTTCAGTGACAGAGCTCAATACTCGGGGAAATGAACAGCTCATCAAAGCACCATATTACGAGCTGCAGAATACGCTCAAATTTTCAGTCTCCAACAATTAGCTTTCTATTCATTTACCCATAATGTTCAAATTTTTAAAAGTCGCAGCGTTGTAGGCTAGCTGTTACTTTGCAACACAATAATGTCATTCTTAAAGTGAAAATTGAAGTCAGCCTACCTTCGAATCCAGTTTTTGTTTTACATATGCACCATTTGCAGCTGTCAAGACATCGTTAATCAGGATAAAAATATATCCTTCTAGATCAAATGCCAAGTCAGAACTGGAGGGGGAAATTAAGATTTTAAATCGCTCAGAGTGTAACATTTATAAAACTCCTCCATGTTATATTTTGTCTGATAAGTTCCATGTAGAAAAGGCGTTTCCCCGTGAGCTTACCTGGCAGGCTAGCCTCTGTATTTGAGGCACTGAGCGAAGACTCAATATAATAAATGCTGCATTCAGTACTACTAATTGTACAAACTAAGGCCCTGATCCCATAAACGCCACAAATGCTTAACTTTACTAGCATGAGCAGTACCCCTGAAATCAGTGGAACTATTCCTGATAGTAAAGTCCAGCACATGCATAAGTGTTTGAGGATGGGAGCTTTAGTCTGGGACTGCAAGCCATTTTCTCTAGTTCTGGACTTTTTTTTTTTTTATAAATGAAAACATACAAATATTAGGCCATTAACTAGCCGTCTACTCTTCTCACAGGTGAACGAGTGAGTTTTTCCACTCACCTTCCCCTGACAATGAAATTCAATGTTTTGCATAACTTCAGCAACTTCCATTTAAAAGGATTATAAAATATTTTAAAATCAAGCTTTGACATGATGATTTAAGCCTTGTTTACACCAGAAAATTGTATCGCTTTCACTTTTTCAGTTATACTGATATAAAGGTGCTTGTACCAGTATACTTTATTTACCTAGTAGAAGGGGAATAAGTTATATTGGTAAAAGGCACCTTAATACCAATGACAGGTTTCAGAGTAGCAGCCGTGTTAGTCTGTATTCGCAAAAAGAAAAGGAGTACTTGTGGCACCTTAGAGACTAACCAATTTATTTGAGCATAAGCTTTCGTGAGCTACAGCTCACTTCATCGGATGCATCCGATGAAGTGAGCTGTAGCTCACGAAAGCTTATGCTCAAATTGGTTAGTCTCTAAGGTGCCATAAGTACTCCTTTTCTTTTTGCTTAATACCAATATAACTGCATCCACACCAGGGCTTTTACTGGTATAATTATAAGTAAAAATAATAAAAAACTTATTTTATAACTCATACCCCTAACCAAAACAGCAGAACTTCGAGTGCAGACCAGGCCTCACCCCCATTCTACCATTATCTACATGAAGGCCAGACAGTGGAAAAAAATGAAGGCTGAACAAGGACAAGTTATGCTTTTAAGTTTAGAATTTTCTAACTGGTCTATCTATCGCAGAGCATGCAGGCAGGATTTTGTCATTTAAGTGCTACCTTTAAATTATTATAGTTTATGAATTCTAATTAACTTTGTAAACTAACCAACATACTCTGTACAAGCCATTTAAAAAGACAAATAATATAAACTGTAAAAAGCTGTGTAATATAAAGTGGAAGGGATAAAAGCTTGAAGTCTTACCTAGCAGCTACAAATGCACCAATTATCATTGCAAACACTGTCATTTGAATGCCCCAAGAAAATTTCTTCCTGAAAAAAAGATACAAGAACCTTACTAACACGCATAAGCAGAGTTCAATTTTGACATTGCAGTGCTGTTTCTATTATTAAGGGGAAAACGTTTGCTCTGGTCACACTTCAGCTTCCTGGTGCGGAATCAACATATAAAGAGCAAAGATGAGAAATTCTGGAAGAGCAGAATACTTATGATTTTTTAATTAGGACTGATGGAGTGTAACACTTCAGTAAGTGCTATCTGAGCCAACTATAGTTAAAGACATCCATTTGTGAGCTATTATCACAGAAAAATGCCATAATGCTGTGGTGACTGGCCACTAACACTGACTAGCCTGTGAATAGGTGACATTCAAGGGAGGATGAGGGGGAAAACATCAATAATACACAGAGTGACTGACCCACGTAAGATGTGGTGTAAGTCACTTTGGGATAGCCTCCTACCCAAAGGATTACAAGGTAGGAAGACTGACAAACCTACCTATACTCTCGGAGTTAATGATCTTGCCTACACTGCAGATGAACAGTGCTAGAATCCAACTACATCAAGACAATTAAGCTAGAGACTTGACCTCATCCAAGACTACCAAAACACAGTACATCCCCACTGTAGGGAATGAACTGTGTGTTAACCATCTGGCATATGGACATAATCTGCATGTAGAGTCAGCCTAGTGACAAATATGATAGAGATACAGTGTAGAAAGTACATTATTAATGTAAGAATCTTAACATTTTCCTCCCTTACCTTTGTAGTTAAATATATAAACTTAATGCATTAGATTTTTTTTCTTTGATAAAACCATGAGAGTGAAGGACCCATCTAAGATAAGATAATTCTCTAATAAAATAATGTATTATCTGTGCTCTCTCTCTTTCTTGCCCCCATGTTTCTAAAGCTCAATTTATGTCTAAATCTGACTGCACAAATCCTCTACATGCAAAGGCTTCCTAAAATGTTGCAAGCACTTTAACAATCTTAAAAATGATATGAACATAAGATTGATAGCTTTGGAAATAACTCACTTGAGTAAAATTCCTTCAGCAAACATTGTAAACAGAATAGAAAACCTTCTCAGAACTGTGAACATGGGCAAGCTGCAAAAGAAAAAAATAAAATTAAACACGAAAAAAATTATAAAACTCCACAGACGTGTTACATGTTACACCCCAAGCTCATCCCCACAACGATACTTTGAATCAACGCCAAGTTACTTTATAGGAACTAAGATAAAGATTAAAATCAGAGCTATACAAAACCACCACATCAGAAAGGATTCCATGGCATCCCTCCTGGAAATCACTAATTTGATAGCCAAAAGATACTACTTAGACCTGTCAAGGAATATTCACAGGAGAAAGTCTCCATCTCCTACCAGCTGGATATAGTGCATGTTACTTCCAGAGGTTAAAAATAATTTGATTTTGAGGGCTATTTTCAATCTCAAATCTATGAAATCCAGAGTAACAAATGAAGGTTGATTATATTTATTACTAAATGTATCTATTTATCTTAAGGCTTCACACAGTTCGATGTAAAAAAATCAAGCTGTATTATAGTGAAAAAAATGTTCCATGAACAGATGTGTAGCTGATTATGGGGTTCTTTCCCACTTTCCCCCAAAATAACGTCTCTTCAAAACAGCTAAGTCATACTATTTTCTCCATCCCCCCACCCCTCCTTGCCCCTCGCTTCAGCAGATCCAAAGCCAGGCATCTTTTAGTACAGTTTCTCCCCACTCCTTTCCTTCCGCCTCCCCAGATGCTGTTTAAGCGTAAAAACAGAGACTCCTCTAAGATCATAGGAATAAGCTTCGTTGGAGACGCTGATAGATCACTAAATACCAGTCAGGAGAATGTCATCTAGTGATTTATGGACCTTTAAAAAAAACTTGCACATTCCAAGGCCAGGAAAGAGACCTTTATTACTAGTTGCCAAATAATAGTTATAACCCTCATTCCCCTACATTGCCACAAATCAAGCCCATGGGCATATTAAAGATCAGTTTCACCTTTATGTATAATCATAACACATTATAACCTCACTAAATAATAAAAGTTATCCATACTTCAGTTTCTTTGTGCTGAACAGTCCTGTGATTTGGTTCCCAAAATAGAGAAGAGGTAGTGGAAACGTCTAGAAAATTATAAGAGGGACAACACTCAATAAAAAATTAGACAGCTAGAGAACTACCCATTCAAATAGTAACATGGTTACATGATCAGAGTTCTTCCATCCTGAAATGGTTAGTTCTCACACGCACATTCAGACCTCAGATAATATAATAAATAGGGCTATCAAGTGATTAAAAAAATTAATCATGATTAATCGCACAGTTAAAGAATAGAATACCATTTATTTAAATATTTTTGGATGTTTTCTACATTTTCAAATTTATTTATTTCAGTTACAACACAGAATACAAAGTGTACAGTGCTCATTATTTTTTATTACAAATATTTGCACTGTAAAAAACAAAAGAAATAGTATTTCAATTCACCTAATATACGTATTGTAGTGCAATCGCTATCATGAAAGTTGATCTTACAAATGTAGAATTACGTACAAAAAAAACTGCATTCAAAAACAAAACAATGTAAAACTTTAGAACCTACAGGTCCACTCAGTCCTACTTCAGCCAATCGCTCAGACAAACAAGTTTGGTTACAATTTGCAGGAGATAATGCTGGCAACGTCTTGTTTACAATGTCACCTGAAAGTGAGAACAGGCGTTCGCGTGGCACTGTTACAGCTGGCATTGTAAGATATTTATGTGCCAGATGTGCTAAAGATTCATATGTCCCTTCACGCTTCAACCACCATTCCAGAAGACATGCGTTCATGCTGATAACGGGTTCTGCTTGATAACGATCCAAAGCAGAGTGGACTGACGCATGTTCATTTTCATCATCTGAATGAGATGCCACCAGCAGAAGGTTGATTTTCTTTTTTGGTGGTTCGGGTTCTGTAGTTTCCGCATCGGAGCGTTGCTTTTTAAGACATCTGAAAGCATTTTCCACACCTCGTCTCGCTCAGATTTTGAAAGGCACTTCAGATTCTTAAACCTTGGGTCGAGTGCTGTATTTATCCTTAGAAATCTCACATTGGTACCTTCTTTGCATTTTGTCAAATCTGCTGTGAAAGCATTCTTAAAACGAACATGTGCTGGATCAACATCCGAGACTACTATAACGTGAAATATATGGCAGAATGTGGTAAAAAAGAACAGGAGACATACAATTCTCCCCCAAGGAGTTCAGCCACAAATTTTATTAACACATTATTTTTTTAACAAGTATCAGCAGCATGGAAGCATGTCCTCTGGAATGGTGGCTGAAGCATGAAAGGGCATATGAATGTTTAGCATATCTGGCACATAAAAACCTTGCAATGCCTGTTCTCACCTTCAGGTGACACTGTAAATAAGAAGCAGTCAGCAGTAGCTCCCGTAAATGTAAACAAACTTGTTTGTCTAAGCAATTGGGTGACCAAGAAGTAGGACTGAGTGACTTGTAGGCTCTAAAGTTTTACACTGTTTTGTTTTTGAGTGGTTATGTAACAAAACAAAAATCTACAATTGTAAGTTACACTTTCACAATAAAGAGATTGCACTACAGTACTTGTATGAGGTGAACTGAAAAATACTATTTATTTTGTTTATCATTTTTACAGTGCAAATATTTGTAATCAGAAATAATAATATAAAGTGAGCACTGTATACTTTGTATTCCATGTTTTAATAGAAATCAATGTATTTGAAAACGTAGAAAAACATCCCAAAATATTTAATAAATTTCAATTGGTATTCTATTGTTTAACAGTGCGATTAATTGTGATTAAGTTTTTTAATCACAGTTAATTTTTTTGAGTTAATTGCATGAGTTAACTGCCATTAATCGACAGCCCTAACAATAAAGCACTGATTCTATAACAACAGCTTTCACTTACAGAGTGGTAGCCTGGTTAGTCTATATCGGCAAATAAACCTGAGTACTTGTGGCACCTTAGCGACTAACAAATTTATTTGGGCATAAGCTTTCGTGGGCTAGAACCCACTTCATCGAAAGCTTATGCCCAAATAAATTTGTTAGTCTCTAAGGTGCCACAAGTACTCCTCGGTTTTTTAGCTTTCAGTTAGGGAACCATCTCAGTATGGTGACAAGCAAAAACATTTGTTCAGCCTACTTTAAAATATGAGTTACAACACACACTTCTGAAAAATGCATTCATCTTAAGCAATAGTTTGCGAAACAAAAATGATTAGGGGTCTGGAACATATGAGTTATGAGGAGAGGCTGAGGGAGCTGGGATTGTTTAGCCTGCAGAAGAGAAGAATGAGGGGGGATTTGATAGCTGTTTTCAACTACCTGAAAGGGGGTTCCAAAGAGGATGGCTCTAGACTGTTCTCAATGGTATCAGATGACAGAACGAGGAGTAATGGTCTCAAGTTACAGTGGGGGAGGTTTAGATTGGATATTAGGAAAAACTTTTTCACTATGAGGGTGGTGAAACACTGGAATGCGTTACCTAGGGAGGTGGTAGAATCTCCTTCCTTAGAGGTTTTTAAGGTCAGGCTTGACAAAGCCCTGGCTGGGATGATTTAACTGGGAATTGGTCCTGCTTTGAGCAGGGGGTTGGACTAGATGACCTTCTGGGGTCCCTTCCAACCCTTATATTCTATGATTCTATGAAACATTAACAGAACATCTTTGGTTGCATATAGATACTGTCTTTAAAATTAAAGGCAACAAAAACTTGGAAAAAATACATACATGAGAATACAAAAATAAATACAACAACTGACTTACATAGCAGAATTCTGTGCTGGATTGCATAATGTAATAAGGCAGAAACCATGTTATATTTGATGAATAACGTATTTTAAAATGGTATATTTTTAAATAAAAGGCATTATTTCTTTCAAGTCTAGCTGACAGCACTAGCTGTTACTGAACTTCTTAAAGAATATGCACATTTTAAAGTGTTTATACCTTAAAAGGAAAGAAAGAACTGTATTTTACATTAGACACTATGCAGGGAAATCATTTTACCTTTCGAGGTATACTTCTATCAAAGTCTGGAAACTTCACCACCCTGAGTGCCTTTCCCACCCAAAGCACAGTCACCGTGGCCAGCATCTATAAGAGGAGCACAAAACACTCACTGTTCCATCCCGACAACCCCTCCCATGCACTACTAGAAACATGCAATATTCAGGAAACCAACTAACCTGGCCTAGTCCAACACATAGTGAGGAGGGAAATCTATAGTTAAAAAAAAAAAAATTAAATAAAAATACAAGTCAGCAAAGTCAACCTTGTACTTTCAGTCAATCACATTCTAGAGAGAGAAACACCACATGGAAATACAATCTGCCCCCCCTTCAAAATTTGCTCTTTAACTAAGTCTTAATGTTAGGCCTTTAATATTTGCCTTAAAGCATTCCCTGGCCAAAGCTTAAAAAAGCTGGCTGTACCGCTTGAGCTAACGGCACACAGCACCCACGACCCCACAGCTTTGGGATGCTAGTAGCTTGTTCTCCCGGGGCTCACAGTCTTAGGGACTCTGAACAATTCCTTTCAGGCAGGGAACCCGCGCGCCAGCCTGCTCCACGCCAGGGGAGCCCCCCAGCGATTAGCTAGCCAGCTCATCCAAACCATACAACACCCTGATGCAGCAAGTGCCAAGCAAGCGCATACCTCAGCTGGGGGCCAGGGTCAAAACAGTGGCCCCAAACACCCCCACCCCAGCGCCGGCAGCCCGGGAAGGCGGCGGGGGGGCGCCCCACGGGGCTATCCCTGGGGTTCCAGCTAAGCCCCCCTGCCCCGCTCGGTGCTGGGACCCAGCAGCTCCCCCCCGTGCGGAGCATCCCCCGCCCCGGGCCCGGCGGCCAGGGGGCCAAGCGCTGCTCCGGGCCCCGCCGCACGAGTTAACGTGCAGCCAGCCCCCGCCCCCTCCGACCCCGCGGCGCCGAACTCTGCCCGGAGCGCGGCTCGGGGCGGCCCGGCTCACCCGTAGCTGGTGAGGACGCTCTTGTTCACCACCACGATGAGGAAGGAGCTGAACCCGTAGAGAGCCGCCGCCAGCAGCTTGAGGCAGACGCTGAGGCTCGGGGCCGCCATGCCCGGCTCCTCATCTCCGCCAGCGGGGGCTTCTCGCGGCGCCCCGGCTGCCTGGCGTCTGCGCGCGGCGGCCGACATGGCTGCAGGGGCGCGGCAGACGGGCGGGGGGCGGTGCCGGGCCCAAGGGGGCGGGGAGCCCCGCTAGGGCTGCGGGCGTGGGGGGGTTAGCGCAGGGGCGGGGGCTGCGCGAGGCTCGGCCGGGGCGGCAGAGCGGGCGCGCGCGCGGTGCCGCCCCAGGCCAGGGGCTGCGGGTCACGCGCTGCCTGCGGGTCGCTGGGGTGGGGGCCGATCATAGCGGATCCGTGACCGGCGCCGGCGCTGCCGGCGGAGGCGGGAGTTGGCATCCTCGGGCCGCTGTATTTTGGGACTCGCCCAGTCCAGCCCTTGCGCTGAGGCAGGACCAAGTCAGCCTAGAATCATCTCCCCCGTGTCCAACCTGTTGGTACCAACCTTCAATGATCTTGCGTCCACAAATTCCCTTGCAAGCGTCTTCCAGAGGCTGGTTCCCCTCCCCCGGTTTGATCTACCTCTCCCTGGCTGCAGATTAAGCTCAGTAATTTTTGGGCTTCAGTGGTTTGGGAGGACCATTGATCAAATGGCTCCGGTAAAGAGGACTGTGAAGACTGGTAGTGGGTTCTGACTCACTCTTCTTTTCCCTAGATGAAACAGTTTTTGTTAACTTTTCCTCATAGGACTGTGAAGACTGGTAGTGGGTTCTGACTCACTCTTCTTTTCCCAAGATGAAACAGTTTTTGTTAACTTTTCCTCATAGGTCAGGTTTTCTAAACCTTGTATCATTTTTGTTGCTCTCCTCTGGACTCTTTCCCATTTGTCCACATCTTTCCTAAAGTGGGGTGCAAAGAACTGGACCCAGTATTCCAGCTGAGGCCTCATCTGAGCCGTGTAGAGCAAGATGGTTACCTTCTCTGCCTTACACAGGACATACCTCTGTTAACACATCCCACAATTATATTAGCCGGATGATACTAAACTGGGAGGAGTGGTAGATACGCTGGAGGGCAGGGATAGGATACAGAGGGACCTAGACAAATTGGAGGATTGGGCCAAAAGAAATCTGATGAGGTTCAATAAGGATAAGTGCAGGGTCCTGCACTTAGGACGGAAGAACCCAATGCACAGCTACAGACTAGGGACCGAATGGCTAGGCAGCAGTTCTGCGGAAAAGGACCTAGGGATGACAGTGGACGAGAAGCTGGATATGAGTCAGCAGTGTGCCCTTGTTGCCAAGAAGGCCAATGGCATTTTAGGATGTATAAGTAGGGGCATAGCGAGCAGATCGAGGTACGTGATCATCCCCCTCTATTCAACATTGGTGAGGCCTCATCTGGAGTACTGTGTCCAGTTTTGGGCCCCACACAACAAGGAGGATGTGGATAAATTGGAAAGAGTCCAGCGAAGGGCAACAAAAATGATTAGGGGTCTGGAACACATGACTTATGAGGAGAGGCTGAGGGAACTGGGATTGTTTAGTCTGCAGAAGAGAAGAATGAGGGGGGATTTGATAGCTGCTTTCAACTACCTGAAAGGTGGTTCCAGAGAGGATGGTTCTAGACTATTCTCAGTGGTGGAAGAGGACAGGACAAGGAGTAATGGTCTCAAGTTGCAGTGGGGGAGGTTTAGGTTGGATATTAGGAAAAACTTTTTCACTAGGAGGGTGGTGAAACACTGGAGTGCGTTGCCTAGGGAGGTGGTGGAATCTCCTTCCTTAGAAGTTTTTAAGGTCAGGCTTGACAAAGCCCTGGCTGGGATGATTTAATTGGGGATTGGTCCTGCTTTTGAGCAGGGCGTTGGACTAGATGACCTCCTGAGGTCCCTTCCAACCCTGATATTCTATGATTCTATGATAGCCTTTTTTGTAGCTGCCTTACATTGTTGACTCATTCAATTTGTGCTCCTCTGTAACCACCAGATTCTTTTCAGCAGTACTAACGCCTACCCTGTGATTCCCCATTTTGTAGTTGTGCATTTCATTTTTCCTTCTTAAGTGAAGTACTTATGGTGATGGTTTGCCTCCCCCTTAGGAGGATGTGCTGAGATGCCACTGAGCCTGTCTGTTATGCCAGCCTGGTACCCTTTTTACCTGTCTTGCTGAGCCAAGCAATTCTATTAAGCCTCCTCAAGTACACACACGGAGGCAGGGCCATGCCAAAGTGCAGAACGAAACAGACACAGATCAGTTCTGTGAAGGCTCAGCTTAAGGGACTTGCCCCCAGCACTCAGGTGTCTGCCTCCTTTGGGATGCAGACCCAAAGATATATTATGAAATCTGCCTCCTCCCTCAATGTGGAGGAAGTTATGCACAACCTCTTATTTCCCCCCATCCGCCAGTTATGAATTGCACAAACTGGGTTATATTATAAACAAGACATTAGTTTATTAATTACAAAAGGTGAATTTTAAGTGAATATAAGAGGTAACAGACAGAACAAAGCAGAATACTGAGCAAATAAAATGAAATACGCAAGATAAGCTCAATATACTTAAGACACAGGTTACAAAACATAATTTCTCACCCTAGGTATTGTCACAGGTAGATTACAGAAAGTCTTGAAAGGAAGCTGCACTGGCCTGCACCTGGAGATTTCAGGTATTTCCACTCACAGACTGGACACGCTCCCAGCCTGGGTTCAACCTTTCTCCCCTCAGTTCAGTTCTTGCTTCCACGTGTTTTTCAGTGTCTCTTTGGGTGAGGAGGCAGAGGAGAACCTCGCTGATGTCACTCCCCTGCCTTATATAGCTCTTGTGTATGGCGGGAACCCTTTGTCTCCCAGTGGAAGAACACTGGCATTCCAAGGGGTGGGTCCAGTATCAGGTGACTCAGACCCATGTCTCTGCAGGGCTGTGGCAGCCATTACTTGTAGGCTGTCTGGAGCATCCACAGGAAGACTCAGCTCTTTCACAGTCCACTGTCTCTCCTAATAGCCCATTAGCCCTGTGTGCCTTTTCCATTGTTGTACCTGAAGGGCTGGTTGGGGGTGACACCCAAAGTAACACATTTGAAATACAGATACATAATTAATATTCCTATCTTAAGATACAGAAATGATACAGGCATACAAATTGGATAATCACATTCAGTAAATCATAGCCTTTCCAATGATATCTTACATGAGCCATCTTGCATAAAGCATATCTCAGTTATGTCATATTCATATCATAAGCATATTTTCATAAAGAATATGGAGTGAAATGTCACACTTATGTTCACTGAATTTCATCTTGTTGAATACAGACCAATTCTCCAATTTGTCAATATCATTTTAAATTCTAATCACGTCTAACACAGTGCTGGCAACCCCTCCCAGCTTGGTGTCGTCTGCAAATTTTATAAGCATTTTCTCTCCTCCACTACTATCCAAGTCATTAATGAAAATATTTTGAATAGTACCAGACCCAGGACTGATGTCTGTGGGACCCCACTAGATAAGCCCTCCCGTTTTGACAGCAAACCATTGATAAGTACTCTTTGAGTAGTGTGTTTCAGCAGTTGTGCACTAACCTTATAGTAAATTCATCTAGACCATATTTCCCTAGTTATAAGAATGTCATGGTGGACTGTCAAAAGCCTTATTAAAACTGAGATATATCACATCTACTGCTTTTCCCTATCCACTAGGCCACTAACCCTGACAAGGAAATTAGATTGGTTTGTCATGATTTGTTCTTGACAAATCTTTACTGGCTATTTTCTATAATGCTATGTCCTGTGGGTATTTACAAATTGATTGTTTAATAATTTGTTCCAGTATCTTTCTATGTATCAAAGTTAGTCTGACTAGTCTATAATTCCAATGGTCCTCTTTAGTCCTCTTTTTAAGTACTATAAGTACTATATTTGCCTTCTGCAGTCCTCTGGGACCTCACCCGTCCTCTGTGAGTTCTCAAATATAATCACTAATGGTTCTGAGATTACTTCAACTAGTTCTTAAGCATCCTAGTTTAAAGTTAATCAGGCTCTGCTGCCTTGAATACATCTGAGTTATCTAAATATTCTTTAACCTCTTCTTTCTCTATTTTGCCTTGCATTCCTTCCCCCTAATTGTTAATATCAATTATGTTAAGCATCTGGTCATCATTAACCTTTTTAATGAAGACTGAAGCAAAATAGAAGACAATCTCGGGGGGTGGAGGAGGAAGGCGTGCAGGACAGCTGGCAGTTTCTCAAGGAGACAATATTAAAGGCACAACTGAAAACTATTCCGAAGCGAAGGAAAAATAGGGAGGAAAGTAAGAGGCCAATATGGCTCCATTAGGAGCTCTTTAATGACCTGGAAATCAAAAAGGAATCCTATAAAAAGTAGAAACATGGACAAATTACTAATGAGGAGTACAGAACAACACAAGAACGTAGGGACAAAACCAATGCACTAAATAAGTTACACCTAGCAAGGGACATAAAAAGGAATAGGAAGAGGTTCTTTAAATACATTAGGAGCACCAGAAAGACAATGGAAAGTGTAGTTCCACTACTTAGCAGGGAAAGAGAACGAATAACTAATGACATCAAGAAGGCTGATCGGCTCATACTTCCTGTTCTTCCTGTTTATTCCCCATATTCCTTGCATTTGTGTATAAACATCTAAGATGCTGAACAGATTCCCCCACTGATTTCCCTCTTGTTGCTCCTATGACCCCATTGTAATTTTCCACATCCCCCTCAATATCTAGTTCTCTGTTAAGGTCACTTCTTTTTATACTAACCTGCCCCCTTTGAACTTAGTTTAAAGCCCTGCTCACTAGGTTGGAAAGTCATTGTGCAAAGATGCTCTTTTCCTCCATGGTCAGGTGGACCCCATCTCTCCCAGCAGACCTTCTTCCTGGAACAGCAGCCTGTGGTCAAGGAAGTCAAAGCCCACCCATTGACATCATCTGTGCAGCCATGCATTCATCTTGAGGGTAAAGGCCCAGGCAGGGCCATGCACATCCTAAACTGGAAAGATGGCTAAAATCAGAACCTATGCTCCTGACCCTGGAGTCACTGCTGATCTGCTCAGGGTCATACCTGGATGAGCAGCATGGGGGAGTGGTCAGAGCCACCAGAAGCTTGCAGAGGTGCTGGGGTTGTA